TTCTAGCAAGAACGTTTCTTACCTACGCAAAACCACAATGTGATATGCCAATTGCTATTTACCCTTCATAAGGACCCTTTTCATCGAATCTGTTCCGACTAAAGTGGGAGAGACAGACACCCGCCAGCCACCTTATGCAACTAGTGCATGTTTGTTGGTGGAACCGGTCTCACGTAAGAGTACGTGTAAGGTTGGTCCGGGCCGCTTCATCCCACGATGCCGCCGAATCAAGATAAGACTAGTAACGGCAAGCATATTGAACAAAATCAACGCCCACAACTACTTTGTGTTCTACTCGTGCATAGAAACTACGCATAGACCTAGCTCATGATGCCACTGTTGGGGAACGTAGCAGAAATTCAAAATTTTCCTACGTATAACCAAGATCTATCTATCGAGAAACCAGCAACGAGGGGAAGGTGAGTGCATCTACATACCCTTGTAGATCGCTAAGCGGAAGCGTTCAAGTGAACGGGGTTGATGGAGTCGTACTCGTCGTGATCCAAATCACCTAAGATCCTAGTGCCGAACGGACGGCACCTCCGCGTTCAACACACGTACAGCCCGGTGACGTCTCCCACGCCTTGATCCAGCAAGGATAGAGGGAGAGGTTGGGGAAGACTCCATCCAACAGCAGCACAACGGCATGATGGTGATGGAGGAGCGTGGCAACCCTGCAGGGCTTTGCCAAGCACCTACGGGAGAGGAGGAGGTGTCACGGGAGGGAGGGAGGCGCCAGGGACTCAGGTATAGATGTCCTCCCTCCCCTCCACTATATATAGGGGCAAGGGAGAGGGGGGAGGCGCAGCCTTGCCCCTTCCTCCAAGGAAGGGGTGCGGCCAAGAGGGGGGAGGAGTCCATCCTCCCCAAGGCACCTCGGAGGTGCCTTCCCCCTTGAGGACTCTTCCCTCCCCAAGTTTCCTTGGCGCATGGGCCTCTTGGGGCTGGTGCCCTTGGCCCATATAGGCCAAGGCGCACCCCCTACATCCCATGTGTCCCCCGGGGCAGGTGGCCCCACCCGGTGGGCCCCCGGGACCCTTCCGGTGGTCCCGGTACAATACCGATGACCCCGAAACTTGTCCCGATGGCCGAAACAGGACTTCCTATATATAAATCTTTACCTCCGGGCCATTCCGGAACTCCTCGTGACGTCCGGGATCTCATCTGGGACTCCGAACAACATTTGGTAACCACATACAAGCTTCCTTTATAACCCTAGCGTCATCGAACCTTAAGTGTGTAGACCCTACGGGTTCGGGAGACATGTAGACATGACCGAGACGTTCTCCGGTCAATAACCAACAGCGGGATCTGGATACCCATGTTGGCTCCCACATGTTCCACGATGATCTCATCGGATGAACCACGATGTCAAGGACTCAATCGATCCCGTATACAATTCCCTTTGTCTAGCGGTATTTTACTTGCCCGAGATTCGATCGTCGGTATACCGATACCTTGTTCAATCTCGTTACCGGCAAGTCTCTTTACTCGTTCCGTAACACATCATCCCGTGATCAACCCCTTGGTCACATTGTGCACATTATGATGATGTCCTACCGAGTGGGCCCAGAGATACCTCTCCGTTTACACGGAGTGACAAATCCCAGTCTCGATTCATGCCAACCCAACAGACACTTTCGGAGATACCTGTAATGCACCTTTATAGCCACCCAGTTACGTTGTGACGTTTGGTACACCCAAAGCATTCCTACGGTATCCGGGAGTTGCACAATCTCATGGTCTAAGGAAAAGATACTTGACATTAGAAAAGCTTTAGCATACGAACTACGATCTTTGTGCTAGGCTTAGGATTGGGTCTTGTCCATCACATCATTCTTCTAATGAAGTGATCCCGTTATCAATGACATCCAATGTCCATGGTCAGGAAACCGTAACCATCTATTGATCATCGAGCTAGTCAACTAGAGGCTTACCAGGGACAGATTGTGGTCTATGTATTCACACGTGTATTACGATTTCCGGATAATACAGTTATAGCATGAATAAAAGACAATTATCATGAACAAGGAAATATAATAATAATAATACTTTTATTATTGCCTCTAGGGCATATTTCCAACAGTGCATGGCGGCGACCAGAGCTCAGCAACGGCGGCAGCCGGCTACGGAGCGCTAGGGGCCAACGAGGAGCAGCAGGGGGAGGAGAAGCTCACCGTGCGGCACGCAAGATGGCCCATGGTGGTTTAGTAGCAGCAGAGTCGACGGCGCTCGTCGGAGACACGTCGGGGATCCGAGGAAGAAGACGAGGCGGGGGCAGCGTTTGTGGGCGTCCGGCGTCCTGCGGCTCGTCGGGGAGGCGTAGTCGAGGGAGAGGGAGCGAGCGGACACGTCGGAGAAGTGCGGAGGTCGCGGTGGCCGCGAGTTCTACGGCGGCGAGGCCATGGCGGTGCTCGGTTGCAGCGGGGAACGAGGGGAGGAGCGAGGTGGATCTGAGGGGAGAGGGAGGCGCAGGGACCGAGAGGGCGAGCGTGGGGGCGAGTGGGAGGCGGGGGCGTGGCGGCCTTATCCTCTCCTCGACGCCGGCGAGGGGGTCCGGTGGCGACGCGCCCTAGTTCCGACCCGGGTCGGGGGAACAGGGAAGGGGACGAGGCAGGGGAGTGAGGCCGGGTGTGGCCAGCTGGGCCAGGTGGGCCGGCCGGCCTATGAGCTGGGCCGCCTGGTCCAGGGGGGCTTCCCTTTTTTGTTTTTTTTGTAATTTCTTTCTTTTATTTATTTTCTTTTCTGTTTTATTTCATTTTAAAGTATTTAGGCATTTTCTAAAAATGTGTTTACTTCATAATTACCAGTGCAATATTTGGCACTCACCGAACATTTTTGTTTCAACTTTTAAAAACTTTTGTTGTTTGCCATTTTTCTGAACTGATTTTTGAATCGGTTTGAACTAACAAAAGTTTAGCAACAGTAATCACAGATGACATGACATCATTAGGAAAGTTTTACTGTAGCCTAATTATTCGGGCGTTACAGAACTCTAGGGACAGCGAGGTCTCCTCAAATGGAATATCCAGAGATAAGAGCCGTGCCAGTGTGTCTATGCGATGCGGGAGTAGCGGGCTTTGGAAAAGTTGTGTGTATTTTTGTAGGCAGTCCACCGGTGCTTCGTCTTCAATCTCACAGATGCCCATCTTGGACATCAACACCCGTTGCGCGCGTTTAATGTACGACGCCGACAATCCTTGAGCGTTCTTTTGCAACCTTGCGTTGCAGCGGCAATGCTCCTCTGGTACAATTAGCCCGCTTGCGTCGTCCCCGCTGCACGTCGGGCAGTGGTAGAAAAGGAGAGCGTATGTGCTCACGGATCTGCGAGAGCACCTGCAGATGGGGTAGACGGCAGGCTAGCGCTGGCACGGTTGGGGGCAGCCAAGGTGGGCGACGACGTAGCCCGGCTACATGGTGAAAGGGGGCTGCTGCATGGGGGTGTAGCTGGGTGGACCATGTCTTCATGATCACGAATTCGTGAAAGAACTAGCGGGCCTGCCTGGGCGGGGCAGTGCGCATGCTGCGGGGAGACCGAGGCCTCGAAGGCCGGGCCCAGGTCGACAGAGAGGCGCACCCCACCCGAGCCCGTTCTGCGGATGGACCAGGAGGCCGACCAGATGGTGGATGAATCACGGGATCGCGCACGCGCCCCTGCCGAACTGCCACGTAGTGCGGCAATAATGCTGCCCACCTCCGTCGATTGGTCGGGAACAAGGTCAGCGCCCTGCAGGGACCATGAGCGGTCGTTGAGGCCCGTCTCATCTGCGGAACCACTCCCCGAGGCAGACCCAAAGCCCGCGAGCCGCTGCGGTGCCCCCACCAGCCCGAGGATTCCACCGTGGTCAAAGCACGCATGGCCTCGGCGGGACCCAGCTCAGCACTGACTGGCATGCACAGGGAGCCAGCCCCACAGGGAGTGACGTCAGCTTCGCCGGCAACATAATGCGCACGCCGACGGTGATAGGATGCCGCCACCTCCGCCGTGCCAGGATATGCTCGCTTGGAAGGCCCGCCAGCCGCTGGATGGAGGGGGAGGACGCCCCTTCGGCTGGACGCGATAAGCAAATAAGTTGTGGATTGTTATTTGAAGGCCCAAGCGTAGATGTAAGCTGGGCAGGCCATGGCCCATTCGGCCTTGTTGTAACTCCGCCGGAGCACCTCTGACGACGACGGCAAGACGCACTATGAAATCCATCTTTGATTTTGACATGTTTGGTTTTTCATGAATAATGTTGACATCTTTGGTTTGTTTTTTCACGAGGAGACAATATCAAATCTGTTGGCATAGTTCTCTTCCCCTTATGAAAGGGAATCCCTCTTGCCTCATGTGTGAAGAGCCCGCTCGCCGTTGCAAGTAGCACTTGCTTTCATCTCCCGATGGAAACCCAACGCCAAGACCAAGATACGAAAATGACATCGCAACAAACGAAATATTCGAACGCTTACGTTAGGAACAACGGTAGGCAGACGTAGCTAACTAGCGGTGCATTGCCATTGGTACGTACGTAGTCTGATACGTACCATGTACCCCATCCTGCTGAGTTCCGGACCTGTCGCCAGTAAGAGCACCTCTGGCCGTTGGGCCGCTCGATCGCACGGCGGAGGCCGCCCGGCGATCGACGTCCGCGCCTCCGCGATAACAGCGACGCGCGCGCGGCCGCCGTGGAGTGGAACACAGCATACATAGACGGCGACATCCCGCCAAGAATTAAATAGAGGTATCTACGCGCTACAAAAATCCAAAGCCGCCTGCGTACACCGGCTAAGCAAGACGTACGTACGCGAGCTACCAACCATGCATGCCAGCCCCAGCCCGGTCGCCGTTTACACATCCCCCAAATCCTCAGTTCGATCCCCCATCACCCTATCAGACGTCGTCGCGTCCGTCCCCGATCGACCTCCGGCGCATGACATGATGATCCCTGGACGTACACACGTACGTGATCATTGTGGTACTGTCGCGTGATGCCGTCCAGACTGACCGACGTACGGATCAATCACCCGGCGAGGTCGCGGAGGAGGTGGAACCCGCCCAGCCCCCGGTGGTACTGCGACGCGACGTCGGCGCCTGATCCCATGCCCGCCCCGAACTGTCCGTTAGCAGACGGGTGCACGCCCTCACCAGCCATGAACAGGAACTCGGCGGCGCCGCCATGCGCCGCGGACGACGACGACGGGGATGCGGCGGCGAACGCGGCAACGTTCACGCCACCGTGGTGCTGCTGCTGCTGCTGCTGGTGCTGAAGCCCCAGCGTCAGCGACACGCCGTTGCCGAACCCGGCCGTGGCCGCCTCGTAGGCGTCGAAGTCGAGCTGGTCCATCATGCCGAAGTTGAGGCCCTGCGGGTCGGTGCTCTGGCCGATGCTCACGACGGAGGCCAGCGAGCCGGCGTCGTGCAGCTGGTGCAGCTGCGCCCGGGTCGGCTTCTGCTCGCCGCGCCCCTCGGAGGCGTAGCTCCCGTCCGCTGGGTTATGGTTCGCCAGGTCGCCGGCCTGCTGCGCCGACTGGCCACCACCGTCGCCGCCGCTGCCCTCCTCCTTGTCCTTCATCTCCTCCGCGTACATCTCCTCCACCATCGGCTTCCACAGCCGCACCCTCGCGTTGATGAACCAGTTCGAGACCTGCATCCATCCATGCGTCGCACAAATCAATCTTCTCCCACACCACACACACAATTAGATTCTTGGGCTGAACGTTCACGAGCACGTGAAGACACGAAACGAACGTGCGTACGACTCCGACGTGTCACCCGACCGACGGACGACGAGTACGTTGACGTGTCATGTCGAGTGCAAGTTGCACAGCTCGCAACGATGGATGCGTGTACGTGGAAACAATCAATTTAAACTAGTGGCACGAAACCGGCCAGCATTATGTGTATATATATGCGTGGCCAATCGACAGAAACAACGCAATGATTACGATGTGATGATCGATCAGTATCCAGCAGTGTGTGTAGGTAATAATTGGATAGGAACTCGCTAACATTTTTCTTTCTGCAAGTGCTTTTTTTTTTTTTTTGCAGCTGATCTATCGACCGATCATGTGATGATGAACTGATTCTGTGGAGGAGTGAGTGGGGGAGGACGTACCTGGCTCCGCGATAGGCCCGTCTGCCGCGCCAGGATGTGCTTATCCACGTCGCTCGGGTACCTGGATCAGAACATGCCAATTTAAGGTAACCTGCGTGCTTCCAAGTCTACATCCAGTGAGAGGTTACAAGTCTACAACGAGCAAACCTAACTCTTGTATGTACGTAGACTTAGTTTTAAATAACTTTAGATGGAGATGTAGGGATTGTTTAGTACAAGGGCATATCTAAGGGATACTGTTGTGTATTTCTTTTATGAGGGTAGTGTTGTGTGCTTTTGTTCATATGTGTAAATGCATATATGGAATATCCCTACAGGACAAGTGTGGTATTTGATGTGGACATTCTAATAACACTGCTAGAGGAAAAATAGCATCTGTCCGCATATGAATATACCTAAATGTAGTTGGAAGTTATGTGTTTAGGTGAGTAATTAGGACAGCAATTTTTTTAAAAAATTCTAGGAGAGTGAACATAAGCAAAATGACACATCTATAGATGGGGACATACGAAGGAACCTAAGTTGCATCAGATAAAAAACTTATGCACAGCTTCACAAAATTAAGGGAAAGAATTCTACAAGTTAAATCAAGCCAAAACAGCTAGTATTTGTTAATCACATATATATGTAATGCAAGACAAATATGGCACGGGGAGAGCAATAATGCCACAGAATAAAACACAAGGCCAGACGATTTTCGAATGAGGATCACACTCTTGAGCATCAGTTGACGTTCAAACATGTATATTTAGTTCGTTAGCATCTTCCGCAAGCAGATGTCGCACCTACTTACGTTATGTCTATGGTACTTGTTCTGAATCAATTCTAGTTCATTTTCAAAAAGAAAACAAGAGTCTAGGTTCATTTCGTGCAAACTAATCAATACGAGTGCTTCTTTGGATGTGCTAGCTGTTAATTAATCCTGTGTAATTTCTTTCCAAGCGATCAACGAAATTCACCTGTTCAATTCGAATTAAAATATTTCTGACAATGCACGTTAATCTTCTTATATATAGTACTCGTAGTACGGTGCTGTAGAAAGAGAATTAATCTTCTAACATGCCACGAAATGCATGGGACGGAAAGACAGTTAATCTTCTTCTTAGCATGCTACGCAATATTAAGAGGGTTTAAGTAATGAGGATCATCTCTTACGGGTGCAGGAAGTGCTCGAAGAGCCAGGCCCGGAGGACGGAGACGGCGCGCTCCGGCAGGCCGCGCTGCGGCCGCCACGGGTGGCTCTCGAGCATGCCGGACTGGTACGCCTTGTGCTGCCTGAGGCACTGGTCCAGCGCCCGCAGCCTGGGCGTCTCCCCCTTGGTCATCCCCGGCACGGCGGCGCCCGCGTCCTTCTCCCCCAGCGCCCCGCGCACCGCCCGGACCTGCGCGGCCACCCCGTCCCTCACGCTCCGGAAGTGCCTGGAGATGGTCCGCGACGCCATCCTCGTGTACACCGCCGCGGCCCGCTGCCCCGCCACCGCCTCGAAGGACGCCGCCACCGCCCGCATCTGATCGCGGTACCTCCTGTACCTCCTGTCCACCTGCATGCCATCGAGTCAAACACAGGGAGTACTTCATTAAGCTCACAAGTCACCGTGAAGAAACAGCTGCGACAGAAATTCTGATCGCTGCTGTAGCTAGCTTCTCTCGTGCAACAGTGTTTGAATCTTGATCTTGACTAGCTCTAGCTGTGCGTGCCTAGCTAGTACGTACGAGGCTACAGACACCTAAGCTAGCTAGGACTCTGACGGCACCAGGCCGCACAGCACCTACCCATGAATTGGACTGTAGATCGAAGTATATACACAAGAAAGGCAACGAAAGCAGTAAATGTGTGAGTGGATAGATGGCCATGAGCCCATGATCCATGAAACGGCCGAAGAAGGTAGGGGGAGAGTAGAGTAGTGGCCTGCACAAGTGCAGAGATTTTTCTTGCGTCGCCATGGTGCAATGACCTGTGAGACTGCGAGTCCATGCATGCAGAGCAGAAGGGTAGAGTCATGGAGAGAGAAAGAGCTAGATGAGGGAGTGGGCGTAGGGGTCGCATGCCCAGTGCAGACACCTAGTAGCTAGTAGCTAGACCTGCAGCGAGCGAGGCGAGGGGAAGGAATAGAGGTTTCCAAAAGCGGACGGTGAGGCCCAGGCGGGAATCACCCCCACTGTGCTACTCCCAGGAACCCTCCTTGGGCAAGCCATGATGGAACTGCGAGTGCCACTCCACTCGCCTGCAGCCTTTTAGATTTCCAAGAAGCTGGTGCAGTCCCTGACGAACGCAAGGCTTGACCCGTGATCGACGATCGGTCGTGGAATCCGGCGTGAGCGGTGTAGTACGTGGCGGTTAATCAGCGTGTTAATTAGCTATGGAGCTATGCAAACCTCTTCGATCATGGTGTAGAGCTTGGCCTTGAGCCTCTGCAGCTCGGCGGCGTCCATGCTCTGGATCTGCGTCGACGACGGCGGCCAGGAGGCGGAGGACGACGAGCCGTGCTCTTCTTGCGCCGGCTTCTTGGGCGCCTTGTTGTCGGTGTCGGCGGGGATGCTGCAGAACTCCTGCAGGAGCTGCTGCGTCGGCAGCAGGAACCGGGACCCGCGCAGCTGCCAGCCGCTGCCGGCGCCTTGCACCTGCCATGCCCCCGGCGCCGTCTGCTGGTGCTGCTGCAGCCGGGGCTCGCCGCCGCCGAGCTGGTGGTGCAGCATGAACGACGACGACCCGGCGTCCGGCGGCCCGTGGAGCGACAGCGACAACGGGGCCTGGCCCATCTGCAGCTGCTGGTGCTGGTGGTGGTGCTGCTCGCCGCGGAAGAAGCTGATGGTAGACGAGCCGTCGACGTCGAAGTCGAGCGCGGCCTTGCTCTGCGCGGACGTCGCCTCGCCGGGCGGCGCCATGCCGAAGCCCCTGGCCCCGAACATGTTCACCCCGGAGTGGTGATGATGGTGCAATCCGCCGCCATACATCTGATGCTCCGCGCGGGTGTCCACCTCCGGCACGAGCGTGACGCCGCCCCCGTTGCTCCCCGTCTCCGCGAAGTAGTCGGCGTACCCTACTAGGCTGGGATCGTGCGCCATCGATCTTTATACTGGACCTCCGCTCCCGCGCGCGCGGCCAGGCGCTCCGTTAATCAATCTATGGACGGACGGGGCGACGGCACGGGAAAGAAAGAAAGCTAGCTCAGAAAACGAAAAGCGGAGCAGTAAAGCAAGACAAGGGCAGGCGAGCACCGAGAGGGAGGGAGGGGAAGGAAATAAAGAAAGGGATGGAGACGCACCTTTGCGCAAAGAGGAGCTGAGGGCCATATCTTTCTGGGGAGGTGATGAGGAGACGAGCGATGGGAATGAGATTGGTGGATGGATTGGGATGGGATGTTTGCAGCAGCCAGCAGGAGATCGACGACGAGGAGGAGGAGGAGCTTACACTGCACTTGATCGTACCGCCCGCCCATACCATACCAGTACCTACCTACCACTACCCGCGTCAGGAGCATAGCCACGCTAGATTGCTATAGCTCCACTACAAGTACACACAGCCACACGGAGCTGGCACGCAACGAGCAGGGTCGAGTCGAACGTACGGTCATTTCTTTGGGCAAGGAGAGGGCCAAAAGTGTGACGGAGGCGCTGGGCGTTCGTTTGGTTGGGCAGGGCATGCACACGGCGCCCGGAAATGAAAAACGCGGTGGTTGCGGCGTCGAGCTCCCGGTCGCTCGCTGCTGCAACTTGGGCTGATCTAGCTAGCTGCAAGCCTCCGGGAGAGAAGGGGGCGCTGCGTGCACGCTGGCCGCTGGCGCCGACGACGTCTGGTCCGGGGGCAGCAGTGGTCCACGTACGGCCAGTCGTCGACGGACCAACTAATCGCCACTGGGAAAAACTGGCCTATTGGGCAGGACGGAGCCGCGCGCGGGGACCACCGCGGACGTCGCCGTCGCGCATCTCCCGGGTTGCTTGCTTGCTTGCTCGCTAGTCTGGTGGATTTTGTGTGTGTGAGAGGGAGATCTCCTGGGCTATGTATTTTACTGCTCTCCCTCCGTTGTTTTCTCGTGTGCCGACGTACGTAGGCGGGCGCGAGAGCAAGAGCGAAGAGCGCGTAAAAACATGAGTTGGACTAGAGGGAGGGTATGTCGTCTTTGCTACGGAGTGGTCGATAAACCCAAAGGTTCATCCATACGATTGGTTCAAAAATCCTTTGTTTACCCCTGAAAAAAGAAAAAGACACGCCCGTCATCTATGTATCGCTGACGGGAAGTGGTTTACCGTGTTCCGGCGCTATGAGTGTTGCATTTTCTTGAAATATAGGCTGGGCCTTGGGCCCATCAAACAATTTCAGAAAATTTCTAAGGACCCAGCGTGGTCCTTAAGATTGTGGTCGGAACGGAGTCAGCCGCATGCATTAATGACACAATCCTGGTGTTGATCCCAAAGGTAAAAAATCCTACACTCCTATCACAGTTCCGCCCAATCAGTTTGTGTAATGTTTTATACAAGATAGCATCGAAGGTCATCGCCAATAGGCTGAAACAAATATTACCAGATATCATCTCCGATGAGCAATCTGCTTTTGTCCCTGGCAGAATGATAACTGACAATATCATAACTGCTTATGAGTGTCTGCATTTCATGAAGCGAAATGGGGCAAAGAAGCATCAAACATGTGCACTAAAGCTCGACATGATGAAGACATATGATAGGGTTGAGTGGGCGTACCTCCGGGCCATCATGCTTAAGCTGGGCTTCACCGAGAACTGGGTAGATATTATTATGAGCATGGTAACATTTGTTAAATTTTCAATCATGTTCAATGGGAGGAAACTAGAGGAATTTCAGCCTTCGAGATAAATCCGCCAAGGGGACCCGATATCACCATACTTGTTCTTATTAGCAGCAGAGGGCCTATCGTGCCTTTTAAAATCGAAAAGTGAGTCATCCAACTTGAGTGTGATACAGGTGGCGCCTACGGCACCTCCGGTAAACCATCTCTTATTCGCTGATGACAGCCTGTTGTTTTTCAAGGCAAATAGTATGGGAGCTACCGAGGTGAACCAGGTGTTGGAAGCCTATTGTCAAGCATCAGGTCAGCGAATAAACTATGCAAAATCCTCAATTTTTTTCAGCAAGGGTGTTCCTGACAGCATGCGGAACCAGATTAAGGGACTCCTCAATGTTCCTAATGATACCCTAAATGAGAAGTACCTTGGGATGCCCTCTGATATTGAAAGTTCGAAGAACGAGGCTTTTAAATACCTCAAGGACAGACTTTGGAGTAAAATTCAAGGATGGATTGAAAAATCCTTGTCCACAGCAGGAAAGGAAGTCTTGGTCAAATCGGTCGCACAAGCAGTGCCGGTATACTCCATGTCCTGCTTCAAGCTTCCAAGAGGCCTTTGCGAGCACCTCAACAAATTAATAAGGAAATTCTGGTGGGGCAGTAAGAATGGGCAGCGCAAACCCCATTGGGTCTCATGGCAAGAGATGACGAAACCAAAAACAATGGGAGGTTTGGGGTTCAAAGATTTTGAAATTTTCAATTTGGCAATGTTAGCAAGACAGGCCTGGCGCCTACTACAACACCCGGAGTCGCTATGTGCACGTTTACTGAAGAGCATCTATTATCCACAATCAACCATCCTCGATGCAACTCTAGGGAGCCACCCTAGTCAGATATGGAGGGCTATAGTTGAGGGGCGCGACACACTCAAACTTGGCCTGATCAAACGTATTGGTAATGGGGAAAGCACGAATATATGGGAGGATAATTGGTTGCCCAGAGAAGAAATGATGAGACCATATGGCTGCATCACCGCAAATCCCCCTTTGATGGTCTCAGAACTGTTGGACACCACTTCGTCCTCATGGGATGTTAATAAGCTAAATGTCACGTTCTTGAGTTTTGATGCAAAGGTGATTTCAAGTATCCCTTTATGTACTATGAATGTCCTAGATTTCTGGAGCTGGGCTCATGAGAGACGGGGCCAATTTTCAGTTAAGTCTGCATATAATATGCTAGTAACAATCAAGCAAAGGAGAGAAGCATGGTATATGGATCAGCCGGGCCCTCAACCTCTCGCGTGGAAGAGGGTTCATGGAAAACATTGTGGAAAGTTGAGGTTCCTTCAAAAGTCCGTATGTTTCTGTGGAGACTGGCCAAGCAATCTCTACCAACTAAGGATGTGAGTGCGCACCGCAACATGTCAACTTCGAGCACATGCGGCTTCTGCGGGGCTCTAGATTCGTGGTGACACTCCCTCCTGGAGTGTACTGTATCCAGATGCACGTGGGCTCTGGTGGACGAGGAACTTGCCTGTTCTTTGGTTGCGACTACTGAGATGAGAGCTAAGAGTTGGTTATTCAATCTACTCGACACTCTCTCTCACGAAAAATTTGTCCTCCTGACGGTAACACTCTGGGCGATCTGGTCGTCCAGAAGAAAGGCGATACATGAGGTGATCTTCCAAACTCCCCATGCTACACATGCATTCATAAACCGCTTCATCGCCGATCTAGACCAAGTACGGGTGACCAAACCAACATCAAATTCTGCACCAAGGGTACACCAAGTAGCTCCAAGACCAAGCGCCCCACCGGCCAATTATGCAAAGATCCATGTCGGCGCAACGGTTCGCACCAACAGAGGCGGATCGGCAGCAGCTATATGCCGGAACACCCAAGGAGCCTACCTAGGCAGCTCAGCTCTAGTAATTGCTGGCGTTTGGGACCCAGCAACACTAGAAGCCATAGCATGCAGGGAAGCAATTGCCTTGGCCCAAGATCTCGGTCTACAGCGATTCATTGTCCCCTCTAATTGCAGGAAACTCATCGAGGATACTTCCAAAGGGAGCCAGGGTCCATATGGAGCTATTGTTGCGGAGATCAAGACTAGAGCCATTCCTTTTTCTTGTAATTTCATTTTTGAAAGTCGGGTAGTTAATGTAGAAGCTCATAGACTAGCAAGATTTGCTCTTTCCCTTTCTAAGGGACGTCATGTGTGGCTTGGCCAGCCCCATGACCAAGTTTGTATCCCACCCCTTGAGGACTTTGATTAATAAATTGGCTTTCCCCTCAAAAAAATATAGCAATGTGTGTGGTGAGAAGTTTAGTCTCATACCGCTAGTTGAAGAGGAATCACTAGTAGAAAAAGGGTCAAATGTGAAGCACATTAGTGCTGATTTGAATTTGAGTCGGCACTAATGTGACCATTAGTGCCGGTTCCAACGGCTAGGCGGGCGGACATCATTAGTACCAGTTCGTGGGCAACCTTTAGTACCGGTTCATGCCACGAACCAGTACTAATGAGGCCAGTGCGGCTGTAGTCAGGCTGGGGCCCCCACGAAGACCTTTAGTACCGGTTCATGGCATGAACCGGTACTAGAGTTTCTTAGTAAGCTGATTTTTAGTCCCACCTCGCCAAGAGAGAGGCAGTATGAGCGGTTTATAAGCCGTGAGTGCAGAGACAATGACGAAGAGGCGCAATGCTCACCTGCACGTTGCTTAGCTTCAAGCCTTTCGGAATAGCATAGATTGCACTGAGCTATGTGCAGTGCAATCTACACTATTCCGAAAGGCTTGAAGCAAATTAACCAGCATTGCACCTCTTTTTTATTTTTAATAACTTATTTGAACTCCGGACTTCTTGTGTTCAGTATGCAGTATTCAAAGCGACGTCATCAATTTCCAACATGTTCTGACATCATTTGCTGTTTTTCAGTCATTTACCGAATTGTTTAAAGAGCTAAATGACCGTGAAATTTAAAATCACTACAAAATGAACTGTGAAAATGTTGAAATTTAGCATGGTATCATCATTTCACCCGCATAGCATGTGCGAAAGAGTAGAGAGGGTCACAGCAAATACTGGACGCACTTCGTGTACAAACTGGACAATCTCTTTTGGAGTATCAGGGTTTCGGACGAGAACTCATCTGTTACACGGGCACTTCAATGTTTTTTAAACTTATTTGAACTCCAAACTTCTTTTGTGTTCAGTATGCAGCATTCAAAGCGACGTCATCAATTTCCAACATGTTCTGACATCATTTGCTGTTTTTCAGTCATTTACCTAATTGTTTAGAGAGCTA